AGACAAGATATTATGCTGAAAATATTAAGATTTCCCCAATACGCCCGAACGTCGACATTCCTAGACTCTCCGTCAAGAGCATTGGATTCAAAACTTCAAACTAGGGTTGGCGTCATTTGGCACACCTTCAACTACATTCATACGAAAAAAAACGCCACATGGTACTTTCTCGGAAAGCCCCAGAAACCCAACAGATCAGCAGATTCGCGAACCCAATGATGGATCCCAACAGGCAACTCTGACAAGACCTGTGCCACAGGTGAAGGAAGACAAAGGAGATAAACAAACGCAGGGCCTGCTACTCCCCAATTAATATCGCGAACGAACCGCCAGGTTGCAGCGTGTTTCCGCGCAGGCTGCCTTGAGAACAACAACCTTCTAGATTGGAAACCTATGTGAACGACCTCAAGCTCAGACACCTTCTGTATAAAGAGGAGTCTCAAGGCTCCCAACTTTTTCAATCGTGCTCGAATCAACCAAAACACTTGAACATACTATGGTACGACTCTGTATGATTCAGGACGATTCCTGATTGGCAACCAATCGTGACAAAAAAGTGGATGATACGTTGTACGATTGCTGATTGGTTGACTAACACTACAGTCCAGCGGGCATCTCTCGCGTATCTCCGTGTGCACCTGCGTCGTTTCTGCTCGAACAAATGCGTGGGGTGGACAAGGGGGGGGAGGGAGAACAAACATGGCACAATTAATGGTCACCTCGCCATGTGGGCCGGAGTTAGTGGTCAAGGGGGCCCGTGAGTGCTTTTCGCCACACGCGGGCGCTACAGAGCGCCATGTACTTCGAATTTGCTCGTTTCTATTGCGGCGATGGATAGATGTGGCCCAGATACACGCGTAGCAAGTGTCGATGTGAACAAAAAATGCTGTGCCAAATGCGGCAGCAGTGTATTGACTGTATCTTCAGAGAGGCTTTAAAAATCACTAGATGCTCTGATCTCAAAAATTATGTTTTCGTAGTGTATGGGCTTAGGGGCACACGTGTGCGATTTGTCGGCATCAAAATGAAAATGGTGCTGTAAATATAAATTTTTGCTTTAAACCTCAGGATCTTTTCGGATTAAATTTTCCTCGTAATATGTTGTTGGGCTAGGTGAGGCGCACGCCTGGATATTATTTTTGTGGACAACGGACAATTTGGAGCCGAGATATGCAGCAAAACGTGTAGCCACCGCAACCGCAAGTCTAATTTCAAGTCATTTTTCCGCGAGGTACACCCCCAACCCCCAAAAACATATTATTTGTCCGATGGGGGGGGGGTAATCCTGAAAAAATCTTATTTGGAGGGGTGGGGGGAAGGAGGGAAATTGAAATATCTGGGTGTTATATTGTGGAAGTTTGAGGGGATGTCATCTTACGTGCACAATTCAGGTGGCATGAAAAAGCAATATCGCAGAGACTCTCCGAAAATAAAATATTGGCTCAAAAGAAGCTACCTGTGTACCATAGGAGGGGAAAGCCGTCGATTCTACCTGCTGCGGTGGCGCGTGGGGCTTGCACGGTCGATCTTTGTTGTCTCAAATGCGCGCGCCTGCCAGCTCAGCGGTGGACACGTACGCGGACAGGTATACACGCACAGAGACAGGTATACACACCTTCCTTTTCCACAAAGGTCGCTAGGAACGCCGTCTGGGGCTCCTGTTGTCTGCTATTGGCTCCATTGCTTTGGGCGCGGTGTTTCGTCAACGTGGTTCGCTTGCACAGGAGATTTGGAAAAAAGGTTCGGGAAAATGTTCCGGTTCGGGTCCGTTTGCGGCGGAAATATTGAAAGGGGAGGTCCCGCGACACCAGATGCTCCGATTGACATCACTCGGATTTTCTAGATGTGTTTGTATTGACCACGGGCACCCGCCGAAATAATTAAAGTTCGAAATCTCGTTACGGGACATGTTATTGTGAATATTTGACGAAGTGTACAAAAATTCGAAACTGGGATTTCTCCGCGACACCGACGGTGACAAGTACATACGACATACCGGAGCTCTCTGATAGATCTCTGGAATGGTGCCGCGATGAAAGTCACCACCATCGCCCTTTGTTGAAAATTCAACGTCAAGATCAATACCTGGGGTATGGTATCTCATGTTCGTACGTGGAAGTAGTAGGTCGAAAGTAGCCGTTACGTATGACGCAGATAGAATGTACCTGTAGAAGTATGTGGTTGAGAGACTCTGGATGCGACTGCGGAGCCCCGTTTCTGGTAGTTTTGGGGCACTCTTCTCTCTTCCCTCTGGATGCTTCTCTTCTCCTCTGCTCCGCTTGCGTGGCTAATACAAGATAAACCTATCTCCCCCTTCCAAGTAACGGACATATACGAATATCTCACGCTACCTGTCGGAAAAGTCTCAAATTTCAAGATGTCAAACGACCGGAGGACCTCAATCTACGCCGATCGATGCGATGCAAGCATGTTCTTTAGGCAACACTTCCTAGTTCGTGCCCGCTTTGCAGTCCTATCAAACCCAAAACTCACTAATGGCAGTTGTGTGTTCGCACGATATCGTGGCAAAATGTTAAAACTCCACCTATTCGGGGCCACTGCCTACCCTCGGGCATAAAAAGCCAAAGTCTACCCTAGGCGGATGATGCGTGGTTTACTAACTCTATACGATTCGCGATCGGCCCCTCTTGCGTCCATTTCTTCGTCCCCATCCGTCACCATGTTAACCCTGGCCTCTGCCACGTAGTACTGGAGTTCCGTGAGCAACTCCAGCACCGAGAAAATTAGCGAAAATACCCCAATCGACACACAATCTTCCCGACTCTCGGTAGACAGGGGAAGCGAAAGAATCAGCGAGTCAACCGCCAACGTCTCCCCCACCACCATAACCCATGACCTAGGCAAGGCCGCGCCGGAACCGGGGAGTTTGTGCCCATGAGGGTTGGAAAACAGGGCGCTGCCGAGAATACTACAGGGGTGGTGGTACACATTTTTCTCAACGACGTTCTGCTCACTGGCGTATCCGCTGCCATTCCGCACACAATATTCAACGTCCACGAAGCCGACTCGAGCGTGAACCCATCCAAAAGGAGCCATCGCAGGGCGCACGATCGGGATCCCGTTACCACGACCGTACCTTCGCGTAAAACGTGTACCCTCACCCCGCCCCACACCCTTCATGGAATACGCCTGTTGCACATACAACCCATGTTCCTCTGACGTAATTCCGTTCAACTTGAGTTTTCTTCGAAATAAACTGGTCTTCCTAGCGACGTGGCTTTACCTCGTGTATAACGGTTTCCTCTTCGTTCAAATCTTTAACGTCCCTCTCCCTGTACCTGGCCCGAACATCTAGCATCTTTTGAAGCAAATAGTAGTCATACCCTGCTAAACATCGAAAGAAGTCCCGGGGGAACACTCTTAGGTTGTGCTCGGGGTCGACGCGCACAGTATATGGGACCACGCACATTTCCCCGGCGCCGGGGAGCGTTCTGAATCTGGCGGAAATGATTGGGGGATCATTGCCATCGCCACCGTTGGCATTGGGCCACGGTGGCAATAGCGCACGCTCTCTAGCGTTTCCATCAGGTGTCGTGTACGCTCTGTTCATACCACCACCGCCATGGGGAGTCGGTATTTGTACACCTCTTTCTGCGTCCATCCGAGGGGGGAGTTCCTGAAGAACAGTCATTTCTTCTGAAGAAGCGTTGTAAACATGTGCGTGCCTGGAAAAAGACTGCAAGAAGAGCGAAGGCGACGGCCAGGAAAGACGTGGGATGACACCGTGCCGACATATTAGAGAAAAACAATGGCCACAGTGCTATGGTGCGAAGATTTTTTCAATCTGAAACCGGGTATGCCACGGACCACATCCTAACAGCCGTTCCCAACCGAACGTGCACACATCACGTACAAGCTACCGCTTACCGGTGCTCCCCACCATCTCTTCCTCTCGTAGTAGGATTTTGCCCATTTCTCTTCGATCTCGCGTAGTTTGTCAGCCGTCACAACATCCGAGAAGTGCGTGACCTCCACTTGCATGGACGTGTGCCGCAGAGAGGCCTTCAGCCCGGCCGTCTGCACTTCCCACTCATCCCAAAGCTCATCACCTCGGCGAAGAACTCGAGAAAGCTCCGTTGGGTTGGACAAACCGTCCTCCTCTTCCAAGGGAAAGCTCACCGTCCACGGACCCTGGGAACAGTCGTTTCCTGTCCACCGGCAACGAAGAATCGGAGACGTGGCAATGTACTGCTCCCCCTTGACCGTGATGAACCCGGACTGCGGGGGTGGAACAATCACAGCTTTCAGGTGTGCAAGGTCCCCTGCTGAGCCGTGTATTGTGATGTTGCATTCATTGGCAGCCATGTGAGCGATGCCTGCTCCGTCCGTCTTCAGCGTCAGTACATCTAGCGGGACTTTAAAGTGTTAACAAGGGCACGAAATGGGCGAGGGTTGCGGGGCTTTTATCAGGGTGTGGGTCCTGTTGTGAGCCCGGTTACTCATGTTGGAGATACAAAACCAAGTGCACTAACGTTCGTGAGCATAAATGAAAAGCCTAAAGCGGAGAGCCCAAACCAACCTGTCAGGCACACACGATCACCGACAATACCAAGGCGGATCGCACCTGTCCATCTCTCTTCGGGTCTTGGCCCAACTGTCATCAAGCCCGAGAACAAGGCTCGAACGGCATCACGCGCTGCGGAACTAACTGCCAGGCAAACACACCAGCTGCGGCTATCAAGGAAGGTGAGCAGGAGGGGTAGAATCTGTTGAAGCTGAGGCGGAGCATTCTTGGCCGTGCCCTTGTCGCTCCCAACTTGCTCACCTGCCATCATTGAAAAATATCAAGCAGGAGAATCTAGAAGGAAAATCTGACAACAAGCAAAGCAGGAGGATCTGCCAACTATGTATAACGCGATCAAGAGGAAACAAGCACGGTGCCCAATGCACTTTGCGCCTGCGGTGGCACAGCGTTATCTCCCACACCATATTCGCCGCGAGTCGCACCTTTTAGGCTGTAGACCGAGGGCTCTGACTCGGCGACTGTCTTGCCTTCCGAGAAGATCGGGCTGATACAAATGTTTGCGTTTAGGGAGCCACAAGGACGAGGAACCGTTGAGGTTAGAGTTAGTACGAAATATGAGACGAAATTGAGCTCCACCGCCCATATAGGGGGGTGCGTGAGAGGGGAAAACGCGAACGGTAGAGCCCCAGCGAGCAGAGAGGCATGTGCTTCTAATGGAAACGGTCCAGTTTCCGCATTAGCGTGTACCTGCCCTTGCCGGTTTTCGTACAAGAACTGGGTCCCTTGGCCCTCTCCCCGGACAGATGTCCTGTTGTGGGCTCTTCAAAACCACCTTTGATAAGCACTTTCGTCCCCGAGACGATGTACTTCTGATCGGCAACGATCAAGTGCACGAGCATGGCTTCCATGATTGCTTTGTCGTTTACATAGTTCATGCTCGCGTTGTAGATGTCAGTTCCTAGCTTTTCCTCGACAGTCTTGCGCGTTTGGTATCCATTTACGTAAGTATCGGAGGCGACGCCACTGACGACCGCAACACCTCCGGCAATAGCTCCCACGGCCGCTCCCATGACCGATGCTACACCCAGAGTCAGTACCTCATGACCCCACGGAGCCCCCAAAGCACACCACGACCCCTCCTCAACCCCTCCCTTCTACACGTATATGCCTTCAGAACATCAGTTAAACCGTTGTCAATCCATATTTACATTATTTACACGTTACATATGTACATACATACATACCGCCGTTTACTTTCTACTCAACCTCTGGCTGGTGAAGGTGCTGCAAACAAAGCATGCAGCAATCACATCCGTTCTCTCTAAGCAAGTCCGATACCAAGAGAGACAGCTATAGCGTTGAGTTGGTGACCATGACGAACGCCTCTACCGCGCCTAAACGCGAGAAACCAACACTACAACACGCCGCGACATATAGATACGTACCCTCCCCACTCACGCCTGAGCGTGCCCGCCCAACCATTTCCTCAAAAAATTCATCGTGTTGCGCAAAATCCACAGCCGTAGCTGCTCCTTCCGGGAGGCTCTCTTGCTCGTCCACGTGTTGAAGGCTTCCCTGGTCGCCTCGCCTGAATCACGGCATCTCCCCTGGCGGTGGCTTCTCGGTGCTTCCCCCACTCCTTGAGATCGCGGTACTCGAGGTAGTCCTCCAGGCCCTCGTCGTAGGCTTCGATGTACAGCCACGTCACCCTGCTCCATGCGCGGATAAACCGTGCGGGTACGCCGCTCAACGCGCCGGGCAAGACCTGGAGCATGTGGCGAAGGGAATACTCGCAGTGGAGGCGGAGGAGGTGCTTGATGTACCCCCAGTATCGCTCGATTGCGTTGAGCTCTGGGTGGTACTTCGGCAAGAAGATGCACAGGTGCCCGTGTGCCTTGAAGAGCTTCTCAACCATGTTGAGCTCCTCCCTGAACGCCTTGAGCTCAGACAGAACGCGCACGACGCAGCAGCGACGCCTCTTGCCTGCTTCACCAGCTGCCCCGCTCCCACCCGAGTCCCCGTCCTCTCCGCCGTCCTCCTCTCCCTGCCCCGTGTTGTCCTCCACCTGCTGCCGCCCCTCTCCACCGCGGTTGAAGGCGGTAATGGTTTGCCTTGTTGCCGCCTTTTCCGCCCTGCACGCGCTTCACTCGTGAACGCGTAGGGTTGGCTCGCCTTCCCACAGCCCCATCTCCATGAGCAGCTGCTTTCCTCCTTTCGGCAGGCCGATGAGAACGGCGGTGGGGCCAGTCGTCGTCGTGGTCGTTGGTGTGCATGGGAGAAATATTGGCGCCTTCATGGTCGGAAGAGGGAGGAGAGTCGTTGCCTACAGCAGGGTCCGCAGGGGGCGAAGGGGCCTTCCGAATCGTGCCGTCGGCGTTCCTTGGCAGCTTGCGCTTACCCTTTGGGCGACCCATGCGCCCGGAGCGCGTGTGCGTCTTACGTTGCGTGCGTGAAGGGTGTGTGTGTGTGTGTGTGTGTGTCCTCTAGGTGTGTGTGACGGGAAAAAATTTCCTGAGGGCGAACCACCCGAAATATCTCCGAAACTTTTCCGATTTAAACCGAGTTTTTTTTTTTAATCGGAAAAAAATCATCGGTGGGAAATCACGAGGGGAATCGATTGCAGCACTTTATTTTTGATTCGTACGGTTGGATTGTCCCCGCAAAACGAAGCAAAATGCCCATAACTCCGTTATTTTTTGTCATATTGGAAATCGGAAATAAATCATCGGTGGCAAATCACGAGAGCTGTCCAAATCCGGTCTCGGATTTTGTGTCTGCAAAAAACACCAACCTCCAGAGTAAGCAAGATTTCTTGAATATCTGAACATATCGAGAAAAGGACGAAAAAAAAAGCAATCTCCGTACGAAGATGCGCCTTTGAAACGCCGATTTACGCGGTATTTTCAGATTTCGGAAGAACTACCCCCACCCCGAGAAAAGTGCACCTTTGTGCAGGGGAAAATATTGTGAATATTTGCCCGAACGGACCATACAAGTAGCGAACAACACTTGGACGGAACGCCGTAGGCCCCGAAAAGGGTACGTTTTCACGCAAGCGCCACTCGCAATGGACATTCGTGCTGGAGAAAGCCCAACCAAGTTTTGAACTTTGGCGGTATCGGGAGTGGCCAACATACCATCCACTACTGTGTGAACTGTGCAGGACTCTTCAGACTCTCAAAAGCTGAGGTGAAGCAACAAGTGGAGAAACAATGGCCCATCGGCGCATCCCCTTTTCACGTGGGCAAAGTGGAAGGCTTCCCACCATGCCGAGCAGAGTCACCTTCCACCGACGACCAATGCAGGGCCCGTCCCATCGTCCTCGGAGCGGTCCACACTGCCTTGACGCTCAATCAGCCCTGTGGTCGATGGAATACAAAATCGATCAAATGCCACGAGCCAGTGACATGACATGTGGTCAACGTCTGACCCAGGCACTCAGCCAGGCACTCTCAACTTGTGCAACAAGAAACGAACAACATAAAACGGTGTCAGCTGCGGATAGCTCACCAACGTCTGAAGTGATCAGGGCGCCAAGATCTCGGACCCCAGCAGGGAAGCCACCTACGAACGAGGGAAAACACAAAAAGGAGCGAAGAATCGCCAAGGCGTGAGGGTAGCAGGTGGTCTGGTAGGGCGGTGGAATTGTTTTGGTTGGTCGAAGGCCCGGGGGGTTGTTGCTTTCCCCCGCAAAATTCAAATTTCCTCTGTCGCTACACGTTCCATTCCGCCGGAGCTAGAGAACCAACCATAAGAGATCCACCGCCCTGCCAGGGTTGGCGTAGTATTGCGTGCGAAGGTATCGCAACGCAGGCGGAACGGTAGGAGAACGAAATACTGCCAGCTACGTAGCAGCTCCTACACGACACGATGTACAGCAGTTTTGGTCGAGGTTCGGGCAACTTCGTTCACGAACGTAGAGGTGTGATGCTACTCCGGGCTTCGAGAGTCGACTGTTTCTTCCGAATGCAGGTTATCCCGCCACGCTTGGGAAGGTCGCGGCACTGCACTACCTCAGCCTCTCTGAGAACGAGCTAATCGGTGACTTCGCTGAGCAGTTCATGTTTAAAGCATGAATCCCGCGCACGCATCGGTTGGATTCACGAACGGACTCATGCAAAATCAATCGGGAAAGCGCTATAAAATACCGTGTGGACTCACCGCTCAGCTGGGATGGGATGGGGCCTGCAAGCCGGAGTGTGGTGGAAATCAAGAGGGAATTGAAGATAATATTGAACCGCCTCTCCATTTTCAAGACAACTGATCTCCGTACATCTTGTCCCGCCTAATCGTTGGCAGGACCGTTTGTCTAGACGACGGGGGTTCAATTTTGTATTTTCCCTCCGTCTGCTGGCAACATCCCGCCAGAGCTTGGAGATCACATACAGCTGCAGAGTCTGTGGCTCTACAGCAACCGACTCACAGCTACCTATTTTAATTTGATGGTCGCTTTAACCATTTTCTAGCATTTATCCATGGTTGTAAAGAGCGGCTACGGATCCGCCCTAGCAAACCACGACCGTTTTCTTATTCCGCGAGTTCCGCGATTGTGAAATTTCGCACTCGACTACGCATCGGCGAGATTCATGCACGGACTCACGCAAAATCGACCGGGAAGAGCTCCAAAATACCGTGTTGACTCACCGCTCAGCATGTTCTTGGAAAAGGCACGACGCCGCAGTATACGGTTCTCCAACTTGGATGGGATGGGGCCTGTACGCAGGAGTGTGATGGAAATCAAGAAGGAATTAAAGGTAACATTGCACCTCCTATCCATTTTCAAGCCAACTCATCTCCGTACATCCTGTGCCGCCTACTCGTTGGCAGGACCGTTTGTCTAGACGCCGAGGGATTAATTTTGTTTTGTCCCGCCAACTTCTCATATTCCCTCCGTCTGGCAGGCAACATCCCGCCAAAGCTACGAGTCTGTGGCTCTACAACAACCGACTCACAGCTACCTATTTTAATTTGATGGTCGCTTTAACCTCTTTCTAGCATTTATCCATCGTTGATTTCTCGCCGATGCCTAGGCGGGATCGTTTGGTGCTGGCAAAAGATATCCCGCGAGTTCCGCGATTGTGGAACTTCGTGCTCGCCTACGCATCGGCGAGATTCATGAACGGACTCACGCAAATCGACCGGGAAGAGCTACAAAATACCGTGTTGACTCACCGCTCAGCTTGTTCCTGGAAAGGTCAAGACTCTGCAGTGCTGAAAGGTTGCCCAGCTGGGATGGGATGGGGCCTGTAAGCAGGAGTGTGATGGAAATCAAGAGGGAATTCTTGAGATAAATGTAACATTGAACCGCCTCTCAATTTTCAAGACAACTTATCTCCGTACAGCTTGTCCCGCCTATTTGTTGGCAGGACGATTGGTCTAGACGCCGGGGCATCAATTTCGTTTTCTCCCGCCAACCTTTTATAAGTTTCCCTTCGTCTGGCAGGCAACATCTCGCCAGAGCTACGAGATCTCATTGAACTGCAGAGTCTGTGGCTCTACAGCAACCGACTCACAGGTACCTATTTTAATTTGGTGGTCGCCCTAACTTTTTCCTAGCATTGATTCATGGTTCAATCGTGCCGATGCATAGGCGGAGTCGTTTGGTGCTGGCAAAAGATGTCCTGCGAGTTCCGCGATTGTGAAATCGTACTCGACTACGCATCGGCGAGATTCATGCACGGACTCACGCAAATCGACCGGGAAGAGCTACAAAATACCGTGTTGACTCACCGCTCAGCTTGTTCCTGGAAAGGTCAAGACTCTGCAGTGCTGAAAGGTTGCCCAGCTGGGATGGGATGGGGCCTGTAAGCAGGAGTGTGATGGAAATCAAGAGGGAATTCTTGAGATAAATGTAACATTGAACCGCCTCTCAATTTTCAAGACAACTTATCTCCGTACAGCTTGTCCCGCCTATTTGTTGGCAGGACGATTGGTCTAGACGCCGGGGCATCAATTTCGTTTTCTCCCGCCAACCTTTTATAAGTTTCCCTTCGTCTGGCAGGCAACATCTCGCCAGAGCTACGAGATCTCATTGAACTGCAGAGTCTGTGGCTCTACAGCAACCGACTCACAGGTACCTATTTTAATTTGGTGGTCGCCCTAACTTTTTCCTAGCATTGATTCATGGTTCAATCGTGCCGATGCATAGGCGGAGTCGTTTGGTGCTGGCAAAAGATGTCCTGCGAGTTCCGCGATTGTGAAATCGTACTCGACTACGCATCGGCGAGATTCATGCACGGACTCACGCAAATCGACCGGGAAGAGCTACAAAATACCGTGTTGACTCACCGCTCAGCTTGTTCCTGGAAAGGTCAAGACTCTGCAGTGCTGAAAGGTTGCCCAGCTGGGATGGGATGGGGCCTGTAAGCAGGAGTGTGATGGAAATCAAGAGGGAATTCTTGAGATAAATGTAACATTGAACCGCCTCTCAATTTTCAAGACAACTCATCTCCGTACAGCTTGTCCCGCCTATTTGTTGGCAGGAAGATTTGTCTAGACGCCGGGGCATCAATTGTGTTTTCTCCCGCCAACTTCTTATAATTTTCCCTCCGTCTGGCAGGCAACATCCCGCCAGAGCTACGAGATCTCATTCAACTGCAGACTCTGTGGCTCTACAGCAACCGACTCACAGCTACCTATTTTAATTCGATGGTCGCCCTAACTTTTTTCTAGCATTGATTCATGGTTCAATCTTGCCGATGCATAGGCGGAGTCGTTTGGTGCTGGCAAAAGATCCCGCGAGTTCCGCGATTGTGAAATTTCGTGCTCGACTACGCATCGGCGAGATTCATGCACGGACTCAGGCAAATGGACCGGGAAAGAGCTACAAAATACCGTGTTGACTCACCGCTCAGCTCGTTCGAGGTAAGGGCTAGTCTCTGCAGAGCTGAAAGGTTGCCCAGCTGGGATGGGATGGGGCCTGTAAGCAGGAGTGTGATGGAAATCAAGAGGGAATTCTTATATAAACATAACATTGAACCGCCTCTCCATTTTCAAGGCAACTCATCTCCGTACAGCTTGTCACGCCTATTTGTTGGCAGGACGATTTGTCCAAACGCCGGGGCATCAATTGTGTTTTCGCCCGCCAACTTCTCATATTCCCTCCGTCTGGCAGGCAACATCCCGCCAGAGCAAGGCGATCTCATTCAACTGCAGACTCTGTGGCTCTACAGCAACCGACTCACAGCTACCTATTTTAATTCGATGGTCGCCCTAACTTTTTTCTAGCATTGATTCATGGTTCAATCTTGCCGATGCATAGGCGGAGTCGTTTGGTGCTGGCAAAAGATATCCCGCAAGTTCCGCGATTGTGGAACTTCGTGGTCGCCTACGCATCGGCGAGATTCATGAACGGACTCAGGCAAATGGACCGGGAAGAGCTACAAAATACCGTGTTGACTCACCGCTCAGCTTGTTCACGACAAGGCTTAGTCTCTGCAGTGCTGAAAGGTTGCCCAGCTGGGATGGGATGGGGCCTGTAAGCAGTAGTGTGATGGAAATCAAAAGGGAATTCTTGAAAATAAATAAAACATTGAACCGCCTCTCCATTTTCAAGAGAACTCATCTCCGTACAGCTTGTCACGCCTACTTGTCGGCAGCACGATTTGTCCAAACGCCGGGGCATCAATTGTGTTTTCGCCCGCCAACTTCTCGTATTTCCTCCGTCTGACAGGCAACATCCCGCCAGAGCTAGGTGATCTAATTCAACTGCAGAGTCAGTACCTATTTTCATTCGATGGTCGCTATAACTTTTTTCTAGCATTGATTCATGGTTCAATCTCGCCGATGCATAGGCGGAGTCGTTTGGTGCTGGCAAAAGATGTCCCGCGAGTTCCGCGATTGTGAAATCGTACTCGACTACGCATCGGCGAGATTCATGCACGG